CAAGGCCTCTTGGATTAAAACAGGACTGCCTTAATAGAAAAACAAATAAAAGAGTTAATTTGTTCAAGCAGAACAGAGTTGGGTAGACAGGAAACTAATAGCTCTGGAACAATCCAGACGCAGAAGAAATTCAGGCTTGTGGTTGAGAAACACAACTGCAACCTGAAGCAAAGTGATCGCTACAAGCACTACAACCCACCCTTACCTACACATCTCTTTGGGGTTCACTCAGTAAATGGATCTTCAAGACGGACCACAAGGCAGAAGTGGCAGGAAGAGAAGATTGTGTGATGACGGGCCTGCAGCGTCTGCAATCAGTTTCTAGCTTGCTCTCCATCTGTTCCAGGTCCTTTGAGCCAGGAAGCCCATTTGCAGCAAATACAGTGGAGGATCAAGGATTCACTTAATTTAACAAGCTCTTGGCTATGCACTGCATAGCAGGGAAAGCCAAAGGGGATGTGGTTGCTGGAGCTATTGCTGTCAGGGCACGGCACAAACAGCATCTGACAACTGCAACCTCAGTCTTGATGCCCGGCTTAATTTTACCTTAGTCTCTTTTTATTTCACTAACAGCCTTACATTTTCCACTTGAGTTGACTGATAACCCAATGCTTTTTGGTTCCCATGGCAACAAGTTGCCTGCAACTCCTTCAACTCAAATTTATGTGCTCATTTCAATATATGAAATGATTAATATTAGCAGTGGGATTGTCTCAGAAGGCCTTTCCTTCGAGCATTATTTAGTATTATTATACATGCTAATTTTTGTGGATCAAAATTAAGCAAAGGTGAAATAATCTGAGCTTCTTGCCTCCTGTGGTATTCTGAGGGGCAGCCATTAAATGTAGCAGAGTGCTTATATGTGGGAATTTTTATTTTCTTCCTGTGGTAACAGATTTTCCTTGACTAGCCCTAATTCTGCATGTCAGCGGCTGTTAAAAATACAAGCGCAGGGATAGTAATAACTATAAAAGTGGGCAATTTGAGGTTGTGAATTAATATAACCTGTTCAATTATCTCTGAAATAAACAAAGATAAGACATTCACTCCAATCCTGTAAAGGAAATTCATTCTAAATAAATGCAGAACAGCCAGAACTTATTTTGGACAGATAGCTATTTGGAATGGTCATTAAAAAAATAATCTGTGTGAACATTTAGCGAATGAGTGCTTATTTGGAAGGATCTAAGAAGAAATGGGAATTAAAATGTAAAAAAAACCCTTGGAAAGCAATAGTAAAAATGGTTCCAGAAGATATCAAAGATTTATTTAATGAGTTCCTTTGAGTCCATACTGCCTATGGCTACTAGACAATTACCAGAGAGCTTTCTATATCTCTCCACTACAGACCGGATTTGGCATCCCAGATTTGGTAGCCTTAATACAGCCCTTATGTGGAACACAATAATCGGATACGATATTGTTGCCATTACGGAAACATGGTGGGATGAAACTCACACATGGAACACACAGCTAGAGGGATTTAAATTATTTAAAAGAAACAGACCAAATAAAAGAGGAGGTGGAGTTGCTCTCTATATAAGAAATAACTACATCTCCACAGAAATAGAGCACAACAATGATAAAAACTGTCTTGAATGCATTTGGGTCAATATAAAAGGGGGGGGGGAATGACATTGCCATAGGTGTATACTACAGACCACCCAACCAAACAGAGGAAATAGATGAACTTTTTGCTAGTCAGCTAACTAAGGTATGTAGGAAGCACATCACAATAGTAATGGGGGACTTTAACTACCCTGACATCAACTGGGAGACAAACTCCGCACCAAGTGGAAGATCAAACAGGTTCCTGGCAAACCTAGCAGACAACTTTGTCTCCCAAAAAGTAGAGAAGGGAACTAGGGGATTAGCCATTTGGATCTAATTCTCACTAACAGAGATGAAATGATAGACGGTGTTGAAGCCATAGGAACCCTGGGAGGAAGTGATCATGCAATATTAGAATTCAACATTATAGAAGCACAACCAATAGAACACAGTCAAACTAGAGTCTTGGACTTCAAGAGAGCTAATTTCAATAAACTTAGAGAGGGCTTGGGAAGGATTCCATGGATGAGAATCCTCAAGGGGAAAACAACTCAAGAAGCTTGGAAATTTTGAAAAATGAGATAATAAAAGCACAGTCTAGCACAATACCAACAAAGAGGAAAAACAACAGCTCTCAAAAGAAACCAGCATGGCTGCATAAAGAACTCTCTGACAAATTGAAAGATAAAAAGGACAAGTATAGAAAGTGGAAAGAGGGGAACATAACTAAGTCAGAATATCAGCAAATAGCCCGAGCCTGCAAAGATGAAGTGAAGAAAGCCAAGGCTCAAAATGAACTAAGGCTTGCGACCAAAGTCAAAAATAACAATATTGCTATATTTCAGATAAAAATGTTGCAGGAATTTGAAGTAAGTCAATTAGGCTCAAGCTTTACTTTTTTTCTATTTATAAAGCCTGGAGGAGAAGCATAGATGAGACAATTGTTCATGTGAGGAAGAATGGAAAAATTATTCATCCTATCTGCTAAAAGAGCAGGGAAAGAGGCAATAAGATTAAATTTAGGAATGACAGAGGTTTCATGTCAGTGTGGATCAGTGGTTCTCAACCTGTGGATCAGGACCCCATTTGGGGTCGAATGACCATTTCACGGGGGTCACCAAACCACGCTGTCCGCCATTTTTTTCCCTTTTCCCTAACTGTCCTACTCCCTCTTATTGATGGCCACACCCACTTGGGGGTCACCACAACATGGGGAACTGTATTATGGGGTCACGGTATTAGAAAGGTTGAGAACCACTGGTGTGAATGAACGTGCAGAATAGATACTGTTGTTTATTGGGGCCCAAAACCCTTCCAGAGATCTTTGCTCAAAGAAGTATTTCTCTTTTAGCACAGAGAGCTTGCCAGTGTACAAACAAGTATTTTGTCACTGGGTAAATGGGAACTTTAGCTAGTGTTTCAGTTGCTATTTCAATTGTTGGGCAAAATGTGATTGCATAAGGGTCATAGGCTATACACCATTATGTCCATCAAAATCAACACCATACCCCTTGAGCAAGGGGTGCCTCATCTAGCACCTAATTCTGTACAAAGCAATGCCCTTCCACTTCAACAGCGTCTCAACATTTCCACAAACTTTACCCCCTCCCGTAAGAAAAATTGTTCTAACAGCCTTGGATCTTTCTAGAATAATTCCGTCACACAATACAACATAATGATATATGACAAGTAACCTCTGATAGCCTCATCCATTCAAATGTCAAGTGATATTATCAGGTTAAAAATAAAACCGGCAATAAATTCCTCCACAGGATTGCTTGATCATACCTAAGGGCCTGCTTATGTGTAGCTTATATTAAAGATCAGGACAAGATATGAGAATGCAGCTATGAAGGCCAAATTTTACTTAGAACATTGTCTCTAAATAAAATAAAATTTCTATTTCAGACTATGATAATCCCTGAGGAAACCCAAAATCTCGTATATATGTGCTCTGCCGCAAACTGCAGTGACTCTATGTGTGTGGTGATGTCATCGCACAAATGTGACTTACTTGAGCCACAATGTCTGATTCAAATACATAAGTCACAGCATCCATATGACATCATTATGCATGTTTTCTTTGCATCCTACCCATGGATACTTTATTTGTACATTTTTTAAATTTGGTAGCCCTAACAATTTCAGGCAGGTTGTGTTATGTCTTTTGAAATTGATTAGTGAATTATACCAAAAATACTTTTTGGGGCTTGCTTGTTTTCAGGAGACCTTCTCCAGTACAGATGTTATTTGATTGGAAAGTTGGACAAAAGTCTATCTGTCATAATTTCCATTACAGGACCTAACACTAAACTGCAATTCCTGAGGCAGATTGCTTGGGGACCTAATCATTATTTTAAATAAATATTAGAAGAGCTGTGACTTATTGGATCATTGCTTCAGCGATATTTTCTTATCAGATTCCTCAATGCCTTCAACAATGGCAGAGCTTCTAATGTACTTGAAAAGGTGTTAAAAATTCAGGGAAATATTCATGGATGTATCTGCCTTAAAGATAGCCCATGTTGAACTGTATATAGCACAGTCAAACATCAGCACAGGAAATGTTTTATGACATTTTGTCTATGTCATAAAACATTTTATAAAATTGGTCAAATTTCTATTCCATGGGAGTCATGGACCAGTTTTGGGACGCATTCTGTAAGTTAGTCCATTTGAGGTACTTTGGTTGAAAAGGCTTTGCACCATTTTCCCAGTTAAAAGTCACAGACACAAGAGTATTAGTAGTATATAGATGGGAACCCATTCTTAACACATAACTCTTACTGACAGAAATGATAAATACCTTCACTTTTGTGTTTTTGAATCACAGACTGGGGTACAAAATCATGGCTAAATTAATATTTAATATACGTCAAGTGAATTGAGCACTGCCTAGACCAAACTATAACGGCAAAGCAGTTAGACAGTACTCCCTCATTTTCTGAGAGGGGAAATATAGTCATCGCTAATTTTTTGAACACAGATTATGTTTGAACAAAATCTTCTGAAACTTGACTGTTAATTGCTTGTCACTTGTAATTATAAGAAATCATTTACATCTTGGATTTGCAAGAACTAAAACTAAATGCCTCATTTCCCAGTAATAGGTACTACTTTAAAAAGGTTTAAAGTATTTGGATTAGGAGACTTGGAATCATCACAAAGCAATCCGAGAAACAGTTTAAATTTTCCCCTAGATTTTCAAAACATACATACTGTACTTTTAAAAATATAGGAAGAGCCAGACTTCTCCTGGATTAAACCAAAGCCTATTTAATCAGCATCCATTTCTGCAAAAACTATCAGAAGCTTCTGAGACATTTGAGCATCCAATTTTGTTTTAATTCCTTACAGGTTGATATTTATATTTAGAAGATATTTCAGTGATCTTCTTACGTCTGCTCTACATTTTTTCTTTCCCTTCCCCTTCCCCTTTTCCTTTACAGATTCCAAGCAGAATGGCGATGCAGCAAATGCAGCTCTGGCTAATGAAGACTGCCCCACAATTGATCAGGCCCTGTCACCTGAGGAGAAGTCACCTGTCACACCTGGTGGCCGAGAGCGCTATAATCGTGACCGAGCCTGCTTTCTCCTCTCCACAGGTGATTTTGGGCAGTCACCTGATGGAAACATCCGAAAAGGTATGTGTACATATGTCACCATCATTTTCCCCTGCCTATTTCTGCAAAGCTTGCATTCCATCCTTTAAGCTTGTACCCAAGTACGTTATCTTCACCATTATCACTAATACCACCATAACCTTTGTCTCAGTAAATTGTAGAACTGTCACTTTTCAGGGATAAAGGAGAAAAATTGCAAATATGTAACTGACTTAAGTAAAAGCCTAATCTTGAGATCAAGATGGGAAGATAATGTCCTAGCAACCAGCGAGGTCTCCATTTGTTCGACTCTAGTGCCTTAACAACATAATGTATTGCTCAAGGGACAGCATTATCTCATATAACCTTTCCCAACCTGGTGCTTCCAGATCTATTGGACCATAAGCCAGAATACCCATTGGTCAAACTGACTGGGAATTCTGAGAACTGTAGTCCAGTCTTTCTAGATCAGTCTTTCCCAGATTGAAAAAAACTGCCATAATACCTCTTTCCAGAAGTCAGTCCATGAACACAGCTAATTTTAAGTTGAGATTTTGGGGATAAACTTGATTCTCCATCAGCATCGGCAGTCCATTCTTTTCAAAACTCTGTTACATAATTATATGCACAGTTCCCCAGCTTCATTACCTCACCCCTTCCCTCAACAAAGTAATGTTTCCCTTATCAGCTTTTGCTTTTTCATCACTTTTTCCCCCACTCCACCATGTTTTCTCCCCATAGGTATCATTCTGTCTTCCAATAGTAGCCTGCAGTTGCTCTTCAGGTGTTTCATGTTGTTCTTTTAAGGGAGATAGCAGCAAATGACAACTAGTTATTTTACAGGGATTTATTGGAAGGGCATGGAAGTGGCCATGAAGTTATTTCCCATTCTCCAAATTTGTTATAAATAGAAAAAAAGTAAAGCTTGAGCCTAATTGACTTACTTCAAATTCCTGCAACATTTTTATCTGAAATATAGCAATAACAAGGCTCTAGTCAGACATCTTCTAATGAGAGATTTTCCCCATTGTAAACCTTGGGCTGGTTTAGATCAATGTTTCTCAACCTTGGTCACATTAAGATGGGAGGATTTCAACTCCCAGAATTCCTTAGCCAGTTAATGCTGGCTAGGAAATTCTGGGAGTTGAAGTCCACCCATTTTAAAATGGCTATGGTTGAGAAACACTGTTTTAGATTATCAGCTTAATTGAAGACCTGCTAGCCTAACTGAAGAATCACTAGCCTGAGGTTCCCCAAAATGATCATTATTAACTCCCAGGGGTTGAGGGGACCATCCAAGGGGTTGATGTTGCTGATATTGGGAAATATTGAAGGCCAAAGGAGAAGGGGATGGCAGAGGATGAGATGGTTTGACAGTGTCATCCAAGCAGTGAACATGAATTTGGGCAAACTCCAGGAAACAATATGGAGGACAGGAGAGCCTGGGGTGGTATGATCCATGGGGGGTCAGACACAACTTAGCAACTGAACAATAACAACAATAAATATTTATTAAATCATTCCCCTACAATAAATGTTTGGGGAGGATCAATGAAGAATCTGAAGCTTCATGAATAGGTTGATAAGCTGAAGAATTTGGTTACTCCTGTATTAGCCAAACACAGCTGAACTCTTTTGTAAAATAAATGTTGCCATATAAAAGAGAATCATGTTCCTTCCACTCATCTTGTTGGCAGATAGTCCTCGACTTATAACTATTCATTTAATGGATGTTCAGAATTAAAACAATACTGAAAAAAGTGATTTATGACCAGTTCTCACACTAATGACCACTGCAGCATCCCACGGTCACATGATCAGACTTTGGGTGCTTGGCAATCAGCATGTATTTACAATGCCTACAGTGTTCTGAGGTCCTGGGATTGTCATCTTCAACCTTCGTAGAGAGCTTCTGACAAGCAAAGTCAATGGGGGAAGCTAGATTCACCTAATGACTGGATGACGTACTTAGCAACGGTAATAAAGAAGGTTGTAAAATGGGGCAATACACATTTAACAAACGCCTTACTTAGCAGTGGAAATTTAGGGCTCAATTGTGGTTGTTAAGTCGAGGACTACCTGTATTCTGACCTTTCCTGTTCAAAAACCCTGCAGACTCCAACTCTCTTGAGTTCAGCCGAGATAGGTCACAAATTTAGCATTGATGTAATTGGGTATGATACACATACAATGCTTCTTCCTCAGTTCCTCCTCCTCTGTTTCCTTCAAAGATCTCTCCTGTCAAATCCTTGATTTGTTTTTAGACTCAAGTGAATCGCAAGAGAGTTGTGTCAGGAGATTCTAGACTGCTAATTTATAGTGAGGAAGCCCCATACGTAGTGCCTGTCCAGGAACAGTGCATCATGCTGGGCAAGCAACTGGGATCTTTACAACAGGAAGACTGAAAACAGAGATCTCACAGCTTTTAGGGTTAGGGCTACAATATCTGGCTTGCAAAATCCTGGCTAGACATTACATGGCAACTTACTCTGTATTGCCATCTAGTCATCATCGAAAGTTTTGCAGCTTAGATACAGTCTCTGTGCAGTACAGGTAGTCCACAACTGGGACCAGAATTTCTGTTGTTAAGCAAGGTGTTAGGTGAGACATGCCTGAGTTTGCAATCTTTTTTTGGCCATGGTTGTTAAATGAATGATGCAGTTGTTGAATCTGGCTTCCCCCATTGACTTTGCTTGTCGAAACTGGTTGGGATGGTCACAATTGGCAATCACATGAGCAAGGGACACCAGTTGCCAAGCATCCAAATTTGGATCACATGATTGTGGGGAATATTGCAAAGGTTGTAAATGAAAGGACCAGTTGTAAGATACTTTTTTTAGTGCCGTTATAACTTTGAACAGTTGCTAAACCAATGGGTCAAGGAGTACATGTATTCATGATTGACCTCCAAATTAGTGTTTATTGATAAATCAGCAAAATTTACCTAATCTTTATTAATTCTATTATTCTATTCAAAAATTCTCAAATGGTCCATATTGCTTTTTTTAAAAAAAAAACAGTCACGCTAACTGCACAACCAAATAACTGGTTAGGAAAATATTTTAGGTTGTTGCGATTGTTAACTCTGGATATAGTGATAATTGACTCTAGACTGTCAATGATACATCTAAAATTAATATTGCTAGAAAAGTCATCGATCATTTTTATGGAACTTAGCATCAACTCATTGCAGTCCTTCATTCTGCATTAGGTGAGAGTTGACTGTAATTGTGTTCATCTCTCTGTGTGAAAAAGAATAAGAGATTGTGATTCCTCTAGCCCAGGAGTCATCGTCAGCATGTTTATGTGCTGTGTAAGTTCTGGTCTAGCATCTGTCAGAAACTGATCATAGCAGCAGGCAAACTTTCAAACAGAGACAAGGTTGCCCCTGTCACAGCAGGCAAACAGGAGGTGACAGCAAATGAAAGCTGACGATGAGTTTAATTCCACCAAGGAAGCGAGAATACCACAGACCTTTCATGGTGGTGCACAGTAGAGAAGATCAGCAAGCAATGGGCAAAGAAGAACCACAGAAGTGGAACGATCATCACAAAGTCCAAATTCTAACAATCACCTTTCTGTTCTAGAGACGTAGACATTCAACCTAGGATTAAGTAGATTACCAAATATTTTTATTGGCCTTATTTCTGTTGGCATAAGGGTAGGCAGGCTTTTAAGTTCATCAAGTGGAATGAAGTCAGTCTTCCAGATAAAGGCAGCAGACAAGGTTAATCAAATCAGTTTTCAAGGAACAACTCAGTTAAAACAGAGACAAAAATTCTGAAGGCAGAAAGATGATTCTCTTTGATTTTAGGTGGGATGTGCATATCCAATGCAACTGTGTAGGATTCCGAGAGCCTGTTCTTCCTGAAGGAATGTAGTCTGATATTCAAACCAATATTGATGAGTAAACCCAGCCACTGCATTCTGTGAGCCCAACATCCAGCTAAAAAGGAGTACTGGGAATACTTTAACATTTAAAACAATAGGACCACTCTATCTGCCTATCTATCTACTGTATTTATTTATCTCTATCTATCTCTCTATCTGTACTGCTCACTCTATTTCTATCTATCATTTATCTACTGTATTGATCTCTCTTTCTATCTCTATCTACTACAACTATATCTTTCTATCTCTATCTTTCTACCTCTATCTCTGTCTATCACCCATATTCTTTTTTAGTTGGACTCATATAATGCACTGGTTGGATATACTCTTTAATATTGATTTGCCACCCTGTTGAAAAACATTCTGGATAAGCATAAAAAAGGTGATGCAGTTATTGAAATACTGTTCAGTACCACAGGACAGACCTAAACTCATGACAAAGTAGCTTTAAGGCCATAGCCTTAAAGTATACACCATGGACAGATTGCCTGTTTGAATAGGTGGGCACTTTCTAAGCACATATATTGCTAGTGAAGAAGAAACAAAAGGGTAGTGGAGAAAACATAGTACTGCTCACACCACAATGGCTAATTAATTCAAAGGTATGCAGATTAAACAACCAGTATTGTTCAGATGCTGGTTTTATTAACTGAAGTACAAAAAAATAATTTGACACTGGAGTGGCTATTAGCCAGTGCATCAATGGCTTGTGCTCCTTAGATGGTACTATTCATGGCTATGAGGGAGTATGTAAGTTATTGCTTTGTGGTATGCATTCCTGATGTTGACATTTTTCAGAGGCTGCCTTCTTCCCTAGAAGGGATGTTTATGCACTGCACTAGTGGTAAATCTATATTGTCGTTAAGTGAACATGAGTATAAATAATTCTCTGTATGTGGCACTATGTAAACAAGGGGACCATGTCAACCTGGGCACTTCAACTCACAGAATTCCCCAGCCAGCTGAAGAATTCTGGGAATTGAAGTCCCCAAGTTGTAAAGTTGCCAAGTTTGAACACCCCTAAGTGAACAGCGAGGCATGATAGCCTATTACTATCCAATGATGTTTCCTTGATTTGCAACCTTTTTTCACTCCAGACACCATCTGTTTGGAGCTTCTCCATAGGTTAAAATCAGGTGGAACAGAAACAG